AATGCAGAATTTGGAAACAGAGGCTATAGTACCTGTTTTTTTTTTCTATAAATAATGTTATAAAAAGTTCTAGATTGTGTTCTATCTTGGGAGGGAAAGTAAAACTGCAAACACTTGAGGAAAATGAAGATTGTGAAGATCTGTATCCATCTTTGGAAGAAACTGACTCAAAATTAAGGTAAGTGATACAAAGAATCATTTTGGCATTTACGTGCAGAACTGAAATCGGGGTAAAAGTGAAAAATTTAGAACATCACCAAATGTTTCCCATTTAGGCAGAAAGCATACATTAATGATTCAGACAAATCTCAACAAGGACATGAATGCGATTAAAGAGAATTAAACAGGTGGTAGACTGTATAATGTAGTAGGAGATATGATGTGTATGATACATCTTATGTGACTGCATTTTACAAAGATATCCACGTATCTACTGCCACTTGGTGACAAGCTGCTATAATTGCTATGTTAGGAAACTGGAGAGTGATCGTAGTAATGTATGTGTTCTAGTTTTAACTCACTGACAGGGTAAATGCAGGCATCAGAAAGATGGTGGATAGTTTAACAAATAAGGAAAAATCTCAGAGATCTTCAATCTGATCTGTACTGTCCAGTTAAATGTAGTGGATGATTTACATTTGTAATTATTTACTATAATCTTTTTGTGGAGATTCTTTAATCTACTTAGTTAACTACATAGCTTTGGAGACTGATCTTTAGGATCTTGTAACCTACTTAGGGACATATTTTACATATCTAAGGAAAAAATCAAGACCACGTAGAAAGCAAAATACAATGAAGATAAATTAGTATTGCCTTAGCATATATTATAAAGGGACACGAGTGAAAGAGTTATCCACAATGGAGTGCTGAGAAAAATGGAAAGGAAATTTCAGGATGAAAGGTCAACACAGTCACTCTATGAGGGGAGGCTCAAGGGAAACAGATGGAAAGAAATGGGGGAGGAGGGTAGGCAGCCTCCAGGACCAGGAAAGGAAGCTGGGGTGAGTCCAGGTCCCAGGAAGGTCCTGGAGGATCACAAAAGAGGAATGACAGTATGGCAGCTGCTTATAGATGATCTTTCATATGGTGACTGGTATGACAACGAAATAATACCTGCAATTGAATTGCTCTTTAAATTTATATATATTTCTGCAGTTTTTTCAGACTAAGAAAGTAAAAGAAACAAATTAATTTTGAAAAATCCAAGTGTTTTTTACATTCAGAAGTGTATGATACAGTTAAATAGTACATATGTCCACTGCCAAGATCCCAGTTTATAACTGATGTTGCTTAATAGCACTGAGATTAAATTTAAAAAACAGAATCATTTGAAACCTTCCATTATGAAGATAGATATCTCCTATTTTCCTAATTTGCTAATGGCTTATGTTAGAAACCATAAAATAACATCTGTTATTTGTTATTTTGAGACAGGGTCTCCCAGTGGAGCCCAGGCTGGCCTTGAACTCATGGCAATCCTCCTGCCTCAGCCTCCCAAGTGCTGGGATTACAAGCATGCACCAGCATGCCCAGGTAACACCTGCTATTGAAAAGAGGCTTTTTGGTTGTTTTGTCCCTCTGACTTTCAAAAAATGAGATGCCACTAGAGAATTCTGGTCTAGTAAAATAGTGAACTGGGTCCTTTGGTCATTTGTGTCATGCTTGGTGGACCATCTGCCTGGAACCTAGAAATCCATATAGTATAGAGACTATGAAATGTGCAGCTTCCACAGGTAGTCGAAACAGCCCATTTGGGGTCATGAGAAGGGGCCAGAGACACCACTGGAGCCCTGAGAGGCTGTGTTAAATATTGCTTCAGTCTAGGGACTCAATTCTGAATTCTAAAAAGGATTTTGTGGGGTGGGTGGGGGAGATTGTGTCTAGTATGAAAAGAATTACTCCAAGTTTCTGTATCATTGAAAGAGCTAAAGAATGAAGCTGCACATTGATATGAAAGGTTAATAAGCCAGGAGAAATACAACACACATCCATCTCCTACTGGCCTTTCAAAGCTTAAGGATCAGAAACAGCAAGTTATAAATCCACCTAGTAATTTCCAGGGGTTGAGGTAAGCTCTTGATCTGAGCTTGTTTGTGTCAAAGGAAAATAATACTTCGTGGATGCAATCCAGCACCTTGAAATTTATGAATGAGGAGTTATATAAGAACCAAACACTGAAAACCTTGGAGCAAATTGTGAAATGTATCAATGGTCCCCTGGCCACCACCCACCACCATCCCAAGGTGGAGGATGATTATGATAGAAGGTATGAAATCTAGAAGGACGACTGGTCCCTGGTTTGGGTTTCCAGAGAAACTTATCATTAAGAGAATTGTGAATCAATGTTTGAGCAAAACTCCAAATGAGGAGTAGCAGTGGAAGGAAAAATAGAAACAAGAGCATTTCTGCACTAAGGATAAGGGAGGAAACCTCACGTGCAAATAAACGAACTTCATCATGATGAACAATTTGCCTGGGAAAGCAAGAATAGACCTGGAGGGTTTAGACAAAGAAGAGAGAATTAGGTAATAGTGAGTTTCTAAAGGCAACTGTGGGTCAGTTTCCCTGTGAGGCTTTAAAAATAGAATAGAATCTCTTCTAGTCTAGTCCTGGCTGAAGATGGAAGAAAAATGAAAATAATTCCTTTTTTGTATAAGATTTCATCATTTTAAAGATTTACATTGTTAAAGCTGACGTGATCTGGCCCCTCACTAAGGCCCTGAAAGGTAGGGGAGGTGCTGAAATTACTTCACTAATGAGGAAATGGAAAGACAAGTGTTCAAGTTCAGTTGGAGACGGAGGAAGGCAGGCAGATCTCTAAAGGTTTTGAAGTTCAGAGGGAAACGAGGATTGTCTTTTTCTTTTTGAAGAAATCGTTTGTTCCTTTCCAGGTACACTTGATTACTCACTGTTAAGTAGGCGGAAGTCAATGAATGGGTAGGAGCCGCGGCGTTCAGCAGGAACCCCCGTCTGACCCCTTAGTCGTACATCTCCTAGAAAACAGAAAATCCAAACAAATTTTTGAAGACGTTGCCAAGTGTATTCACTTTTCCTCTGTAAATCCTCTTAACCAGTCATGTCAATGGAACCAACACCAGATGTCACGAGGAAAATGACTCCCTTTTACCTTACTTCAGAAAGCATTAGGTGGAAAGGGATATTGAATTAGTTCTGAGCATAATGGGCTGGCAATACACTGACTAATGAACCACTGCTCTCTGGCATTTACCTGGTCAATGAAGATAACTGCAACTCACAAACTTTCCACAGTTCTTATATTTTCCAGGGCTATAAAGACAAGCATTCAAACTTGGAAAGAAAAATGGTGTGTTGGAATCGTAGCTTTTGTCATTTGTCTTGCTTGTAGTCCACTTGTTTTCAGACTGGTGTCCACCCTTCTTTTCCCAAGCTGTCACTGATCTGTATTAGAATCTGTTCTCAGAAACAATCCAAAAATTCATTTGGAACAAAAAGAGACCCAGAATAGTAAAAGCAATTCCAGGTAACAGAGACATGGCAGGGGGTATCACAATCCCCAACCTGCAACTCTACTACAAAGCTACTGTGATAAAAACAGCATGGTACTGGCAACGAAACAGACCTGAGGACCAGTGGAACAGATTAGAAGATGCAGAAACAACTCCAGACACACTCAGCCATCTCATCTTTGACAAAGGAGCCAAACACCCTCACTGGAGGAAAGATACCTCTTTAATAAATGGTGCTGGAAAAATTGGGCTTCAACTTGCCCAAGATTAAAACTAGACCTATATCGCTCACCATGCACTAAACTAAAATCAAAATGGATTAAAGATCTAAATATTAAAATAGAAACTCTGAACCAGTTGGAACAGAGGTTAGGTAGAACTCTTGAAGATGCTGGTGTAGGAAAAGATTTTATGAACAAAACCTCAGCTGCCCGTGAACTAGCACAAACAATCAACAAGTGGGATCTCTTCTCATTAAAAGGCTTCTGCACAGCAAGAGAAACCACCAGCAGTGTGAAGAGACAACCCACAATGTGGGAAAAAAATCTTCACCTGCTCTTCCTCAGACAAAGGTCTACTATCTTAAATCTATAAAGAACTTAAAAAGATCAGACCTCCCAAATTTAAAGACCCAATCCGAAAATGGGCAGTTGAAATGAACAGACATTTCTCACACAAAGAAGTAGAAATAGCAAAGAAATACATGAAAAAATGTTCAACATCACTGGTCATTCAAGAGATGCAAATGAAAACAATGCTGAGATTCCACTTCACTCCAGAAAGAATGGCTGCTATCATGAAATCAACCAATAAGAAATGCTGGCGGGGCTGTGGGGAAAGAGGAACCCTGCCCCACTGCTGGTGGGAGTGTAGACTGGTGCAACCACTGTGGAAATCATTATGGAGATACCTCAAAGAACTAGGACTGGAAATCCCATTTGACCCTGCTGTTCCACTGCTGGGGATCTTCCCCAAAGAATTAAAAGAATCATACCACAGTGATATATGTGTGCCCATGTTCATAGCAGCACAGTTTGTGATAGCAAAAACTTGGAAACAGCCCAAATGCCCATCAACTGGAGACTGGATAAAGAAAATTTTTTTTATTTTATAAAATGGAGTACTACTCAGTCATAAAAAATGAGAAATTAGAGACATTTATAGCTAAGTGGATACACATTGAGGTGATACTCTTAAGTGAAATAAATAGGACACACATGTATAAATCCCAAATAGTTTCTCTGGTGTGAGAAACTGAAAGTGTAAATAAGGACTAAATGTATACTAGGTAATGTGAAATAGGAAGAAAAGGGGCAAAGGGGAAGGAAGTGGGAAGAGTAGGGGAAAGGAAAGAAGGGAATGGGGTTAATATGAGAAAATGGAAAATAGGAACAAAATCTTTGTAAACAGGGAGGAATGGAGGGGTTGAAGAGAGGGCTGGGCAAGGGTGGAAAAAAAAAAAAGGAATCTGTTCTCAGGCCAGCTAAGCTCCAGATACTTTAGCCTCTGAGCCACCCTTGCACCTATGATGCCTGTAGAGTTCCTAGGGTTTATAGCACGTATTTATTTGCTTCTTTTAATAACTGTACCCCTTTCCCTTTTTGGTGTGTGTGTTCTGCCTTCCCAATCAAGGAAAGTGATGAAATAGAGGAGAAAGTGCATGGGATTTAGAATAAAGTAGACCTAGGACAAATCTGGCTCAGACACTTGCTACCTGTGCAACTTGGGAAATTTATTTCTCTCAGTTTCAGGTGTCTCATTTATAAAATGAAAATGACTTGCTTCAAAATGCCATTGTCAGAGTATCTAAAGCAACACTTGCTGGCTGGCAAGAAATGCTTATTTATTCCTTCTCAACTCCTGCAAGGCGGGGATTGTGGACATTATAGTATCTGTGTTTCTTCCTCATGCTTTGTGTGGTGTTGGGTAGTGGTGGGCTTTAAGTGAATGTCTTCTGTTGACAGGAACAAAAGACCAGGTTCACCGATTAAATAACTTGGAATCAAGGAAGGGGAGAAATACAAGAGAACTGATGTGTTTCTGGAAGAATCAAATTTGGGAAGGTTTCATTCCAGGAGCATTAATTTCAGGTGCAATGGAGCACCTCCCGTAAACCACTTTTTCCCAGGCCTAACATAGCACTGGGACCTTTGCCTGGACCAGAAACGAGGAATAGTCTTCTCCTCTCTTCTTAACTCTTGTAGTTAGATGTGGGTGAGATCCTCATCTCCTGCAACCCACGCAATTGACAGTGCTTAAAATGTCCTTCACAGATGGGTCTCGCATGTACCTTGGGTTATAAAGTACAAGCTGCGAGCTCTTGGACTATTCTCAGCTTTGAGTTTTATACTGGTGATTTATTTAATAAGTTTTGTAGAATCTGATATGGTATTGTGCTATTGGTATCAAACGATGTTACAATTTATGGAATAAAAAGAAATGAATTGATTAAAAAGATTAAAAATAGAAAGCAAAGTGAGAGGAAGAAGGAAGAAATGAAAAAGTACATTTGGAAATATGAATGTAATCCGATGTCAAAGAAGAGAATCCTGCTAGCTGTGGTAAATGTGAGGTGCATGGTCAGTAGTTGAAGGAAAGCCCCTCAAAAGAGTTGAAGTCTTCTCTCCTTGTAGTTTTCTTGAGCAACCTATGGTTATAATGCTCCAGAGTTTACAAAGCACTTTCAACAACTTCACAGTGGATTTGTTGTTGGGTTTTCTCTTGTGATCCTCAAACAGTCTTGAGAGGAAAGCTCCTATTATTTTCCTTATTTTGTAAGAAAAAATAGTGGCTCAGGGAAGAATGGCTCAAAGCCTGCTATTCTTCCTGGAACCCCAGCACAGGACTCCAGCCCATTAAAGACACTCAGTAAAAATCCATTGACTTTCCTTGAGCTTCCTGAGCGGATGGCGCTGTAAGCCTATAATGAGTAGGAGTTAAATTCAGGTTGTTAGATTTCATAGGCAATGCTCTCTTCTCAATAACATTGGTGTCTACCCTCATGGAGTGTGTAGACTTTGCTTTCAAAATGAAACAGAACAAAACTTTAGATTCACCCCTCCACGACAGAATTCATACTTCTCAAATCCACTGAGAAAACATAGGATGTTAAAATGATAAAACAAATTCAGCATCGACTGCAAATGAGTTTATATCTTATATTTATAATGGGAAGATAGACTTATACTTTTAAAACCTAGGCATAGATGAAACTGTAGGCATTTGGTCAGTGAAGCTGGCCTTGTGCATTTGTGACCTGTTGCCGTAATCTTAGGCTTCTTCTGGGAGCCTTAAGTTTGCCATGTAAGATTCACTTCTCTTTTAGTATTCTCTTCTCAGTATTGTCAAAGAGCAGCTTTTGTAGCTATGAGGGTTATCACTTTCTCATAAAAGATCTATGTAATATTGGTGTAGGTTTTAAAGCCTCTCACAAGATTTATTCCTGCTGTCCATCTGGGAGTGGGAGGCAGAGAGGCCCATTATCGGGTGGGACTTCAGATTTAAGGAAACAGGAGAGAAAGCGCCATGGAGCAGAATGGGCAGAGGGGAGTGGGTGAGACTTGGAGGGCACCAAGGACTCAGGAATCCTTGCCTGTTCTGAAGATCAGCATTTTGCCTTATTGAATAACCTTGGACAAAACAATAACTGCTATGAGATCTAGTTTCTAAAATTTAAATTGCATATTTATAGCAATTTTGCCAACTTTACAGGGTTGATGCGAGGACATTCTAATGTGTATGAAAAATATGATTCACATTTATTGACTACTTATACTGTGCTGAGAATTTTATATGTATTAGCCCATATCATCAATTCAAATGAGGTATTATTAAATGTATTAGACAATTTTACATTTGAGGAAATTAAAGCCAATGGAAATTTGGTAATTTGTCCAAACTCATAGAGCTAGTGAGAAGTTGTGCTTCAACTCAATACTAAGTCCAAACTAATGGGCTCAACTTTTCCTATATTATCAACAAAAAACTTCATAGCTAAGCATTAATTTTTTTCTTGCCCAATGTATGTTCTGATTGGTTTCTACCAATAAAGATGTAGTCATCATGATTCCTAAAAACTGAATACCAATGGAGCCTATTGCCTTGATGAATTCAAAATTCAGTCAGATAGATGTTTATTCAAAGAGTACTGCAGTGGAAAAGGGCTGTATGAATAAGATAATTGAATTCTCTTCTGGATCAACAAGGCATTTATTAATTTCAAGTACAAAATGGAAAGCAATTATTAAAAATATTATTCAGCAGAAGTGAAATTAGCTGGCAATTAATTTACTTAAATTCTTAATCAAACAGAATTTTCATTATGCCCCTCACTTTTGGGGAAAAAGAGTCAACCATCACAAGCAAAGTACACAAATCAATAGCAACAACCAACAAAATCACACATGAAAGATTCAGTTTCAGTGCTTATACTGTCTTTAACTGCAATTGCTCCCTTAAAAGAAGATTACTTGGGCCGGGGATTTAGCTCAGTGGTGCTGTGGCCT